TATATATATGTGTGTGTGTGTGTGTGTGTGTGTGAGCGCGCGCGCACACACACAGTCAAACCTCGGTTTTTGAACGTCTCTGTTATTGACCAAATCGGATTTCGACCAGAAATGAATTGGGCTGTATTATCAGCTGTAATTTGTATGTTATGTTTGGTGCATTTCAGGTGGTGGACAAATGCCTGTCTGATGGTGCCGATGAATATTTGCAGCTGCTCAGTCTGTGTTCAGCAATTGTCCCGCAAGCACCCCAGAACAACTGAAAATGTCACACTACCAAGCAGAATCGTGAAACATTCACGAAGCAAGACCAAGCAAGCGTCAAATTCCATTCAGCTATGTCAGAAGAGTGGCTTGATTGAATTCCACAGATACTTGACAGTAATGTTTGTCTGATGTGATGCTCACTCAATTCCAGACTGTCCAATGATGTCCGTTTCTTTGATGGGACAAGCTACAATCGTACATTTTCACGCTTTACTTAATTTTGAAAAATACAATTTTTGTTTTCAGTGTTTAGAGGAGGCAGCTCATCATGCAGATTTGTTATTTTGGAGGGGGAGACAAATGAAGCTAATAAAAATTAAGTCAATGTTCAAACTATTAACTCTGCAGTGTTTTAGATGCAGTTCAGGGTGAACAGTTGAAACAGGTCTGTCTTTCTATATTAAAACCAGTAAACTCTGACAACTGATGTCTGTATAATTGTGTATTCTCATTCTTAACCATTCTTGGTGTCAAAGTCTGTAGCAGTATCCACCGAACTGCAGCTATCATTTGCGCTACATCGCCCTGTCCCTGGAAATCACCACCACTTCAGCATCCACAGCTGCACGGTGCTATATCCATACAAGTTTTGTACCTTTTTAAGTTGTTTGTATATTTTTTTTTTGGTTATTTACATTTGCAATTTTATTTTTTGGGGGGGGGGGGTTGCAATTTTGTTTATTGGTTTTCTTTGAAAGAACAAACCAAAATAACAACCTGTTTGTCTTTCAGTTCAGAAAAAGTACAGGTATTCAAATAAACTTAAATCTTCCCTTAAATTAATGATTCAAAGTCAATTGTACATAATTACAGGTAAAAATTCGTACAATACACTAAGTGTTGCCCATATAATCACTTATTCCCAATTAACTGATCTCCTTAGAAGTACATACAAGTAGGTAGTGATCTCGTTTTTGTCTGCCTTCGTCATTTTGAAAGTGAGATCTTGTCTTCGGAGTGTACCAAAGGAAACAAATTGTCCACTTCTCTATCTTGGCATATGCAAATGTCGTGTCAGCCAATTTTTGGTGAGAGACTTTTTGCTGGTCACCAACAGAATGCACTTTTTTTTTTTAAACAGTGTTGATCAATATGTCCAAACAATAAGGACTTGGCTCCTAGGATCATTGTGTAAGTGCGTGCGTATGCGCGGTAGCGGGTCGATCACGGGAGGTTGATTGATCGAAAAATAAATCTTCAGTCAAAAAAGGTTGGGCACCCCTGCCTTAAACCCTTTGTGACAGGGATGTCCAGCTCCAGGCCTGGAGGGCCGCCGTCCTGCCTGTTTTACAGCTCTCCCGGCTGCAACACACCTGATTCATATGATCAGCTCTGAAGCAGCATTCCTGATGATTTGAATCAGGTGCGTTGCTCCTGGGAGAGCTGGAAAACAGGCAGGGACAGTGGCCCCTGAGGACCGACTTTGGACACCCCTGCTTTATGAGTTGAGCCTACAGTGAAAATAACACAGTGAAAGTTTTGTTTTTGTGATTTATAATAATAAGCATTTCTACTGCAGTAATCATATGTGTAAAGTTTATTGACATCAGCAAATAATAAAAAGACAAATGGGTTATGATACAGCTCTTTGAGACAACAGGAAAAGAGGGAAATAAAACCTTGCAATTACAAAGTGGACAATATACACAGATTTGAGCAATGGCAAAATGTTACAATTTAAAAGCTCAATTCTATAATTAATTTTTGACAAAATGGAAAACTTAAGAGGATAGCCTTTTTTCAGTCAGATTTCAAGGCATAGAGAATATCATCTTGGCTGATATTAAGGCGGATCCGCTGCAGGACACCCAAGCGACTTGTCTCGAGCAGTAACAATCTGCAGGCTCCCAGGCGTTGACAGACTGCAAGAACTTCTGATACACTTATTGACTGCAGACCCTCCACCCGACACAGAGCCTGGTGCTGTATAAACACCTGGGAAGTACACAGAAGAGTTGCAACTGTTAATATGCATTTGTTTTTATTCCTTGGCTAAAATTGTACTTCCAGTGAAGCAACATGCTGCATTAAACAGGGTTGTCGTGCTTGCTGCAACACCTGTTAGAGTTCTCAAATGCCAATACCTGCTATGGTACCACTCGGAAACAAAACCTTACATACCAGTTGACCAAGGCGGATCGTTGGAGAAAACAGTCAATTGCTTGAATTATGACTTTCGTCAGTGGTGGGACCAAGTCACACATACAGTATGTAAGTCTCAACCAAATTCGCGCTCATTTTGTCTTGGCCAAGTCAAGTCAAATCACTGGTTACACCTACACTTTTACAATTAATGCGGCCTTATCTGCAGTATCCGTTTTCCTGAGAGAGGTGATATTATTCGTGGCCAGTATGAGCAGCTTGAAATGTAATAGTAAAACCGTATACCAGTGCTATGTCTGACCATTATATAGGACGACCGTGGCAGAAGGTTTTTTTTTTACCCCACTTCCCCACGGAGGGTGTGTCACCAACATTCGCCCAGGATACTTCGGGGATTGGATTACTCAGGTCTGTGGACTCGACTGATCCAGTGTGGTATGTGAAAGCCTACATTATTCTGTAATTGGTCGTTTACTATTTTCTCAGTTCTATATGTCCTTTTTGTCCTGAGTTTTGAATTGGGCCATTTTTCTTTCTTTTTTATTTATTTTTTTTGCAATTAGTAATTACTTTTTTTTTTCTTTTGCAATTATCTTCAGTTGGCTGCTTGCTTCTGTCACGAAAGGAGTTTCAGTGATTAAAAGAAATGGAGAATAGTAATGGCAATTGGCAGAATAGGTGGCATTATATTTACTTATACGCTCCACGAGAGGATAACCCAGATTTCTTGAAGAATATTGCATCATGGATAGCTGATAAAGCAGCAGGGGAATTGTTTGAATAGGGGCAAATTTGAACTGTGTTTTGAGAGGTTATATTGATGAACTCCCTGCTGACTGGGTTTCTAAATCCCAAAAATGTTGGGCTCTAACAACATTGATGAAAGAATAAGGCTTGGTAGATGTTTGGCACCATTTTACATACCATGGAAAAAGACAACCTGAGCAGTCCAGTTGGGGTCAATACGATGCTTTGAGAGGTAAATGACAATATTCATTCATTCAAGAATCTGTTCTCAATTGCCTTATTTGTAAAAGTGAAGGTCAAATAAATAAATAACCTCTCTCAAAAGCTAACTATATGAAAAGCTTTTTGATTTGTGCCATCAGAAGGTGACTTTTTTTTTTGTACCTGCTGGAAAGTTGCTTCTTCCAAACCCAACCGCCGAAACTCTGCGATGACAGCACGAAGGAAGAGCTGTTCCTGCACCGATGCAGACCTGAAAAGCACACATTTCACGGCATCTTTACTTTATCAAAATGGTCAACTATTACTGTGAGGATCTTACTTGACAGCAGTGATGAAGGAGGAAGAAAACATCTCATTCAGTGCATCCATCACATGATTCATCCCCACTAATCTTCTGGTTGAAGTGTTGGTGGCAGAGTGCTCGCAGAGCTCCGTGGCTCTCCGACAGATATCCAAACACCGGCGAGCATCACCTGACAGAGCAGCCACCTGAGGAGAATTGTATCGCTGAAGTCTCTGAGACACGATCAATCTGTTGAGGGTAATCGAGTGCCGGTCGTCACCTTCCTGGACACCAGCTGCAAAGCATCATCCTCAAAGGCCTTGACTTTGTTTAACCGAGACATTATGATCTGTTGCAATTGCTTGAATCCATAAGGCTGGAATGACATTCGAGTTAAACCCTGGAAAAACAAAGGGGGGGGGGGGGGCAACACATTTTTGGTGGGGTTTTTACATATACATATATATTCTTATACTTGCAGTTGCATAAACTACTAAAAATATTGAAACCTACTGGCGTACAAGCGTTCGCAAAGAAAAGGTAAAGCAACTGCCAGTGTGGCCCGCCTCATGGGATTGTGGGATATCTTACTATTTTAAGCACAAAGGTCGGGCACTCTATTAAAAATAGCAGCAATTGGGGTGGAGTCAATGCGTTAGCTTTAATCTAATTTTGGAATCGTCTGCTATCGTCCGTGCAGCTTCCACAGCGAGGCTGATGTGAATGAAGCCACCGGTGGAAGTGGCATATTGTCAAACATAGATCGCAATTATCTACAAAGTATTTTTGCTCGTTTTTAATCTTTTTGGGCAATATGACCCATATTTTCTTTTGTTTTTACATATCCCATTAACGAGGTCGTGTTTTAAGATTTGCACAAAAAAATATGGATAATGCAGAACAGTTGGCAGCTCTCAATAAGCCAACACTGTCTTTACAATGTTGGGCTGTATTGCTCACCAGTCTGCTGGCCACTCTGTTTATCATGATCCTCTCTGGCAAGTCCATAGTGTTTGCGATGGTTAAAACCACCAGGCGGGAATGACGTCGTGTTGGCCAGTCAAAAAGGTTATACATCACATTTTGCTTCCTGGTCCACAAAAGGTCCAACTACAGAGAGAAAGTACACATATTAAACTTCATTGAGGCTGAACATTTAATCACATGTATACCGTAATTCTGGACTATAGAGCGCACCTGATTATAAGCCGTACCCACAAATGAAAAAACATTTTGTACACACACAAGCACCTGTCTATAAGCCGCAGGTGTCCATAATGTAACATGAGATATTTGCAAAGAAAGATGGTACACAGAAAGAGGTTTCAACGTTTAATAACATACCTTAACTTCTCTTTGCCTGTAACGCAGCAGCACAACAGCAGTAAAAGAGCACTCACATGGCTGGTTTAAAAAAAATAATAAATAAAATAAAAATGGCACCGTTCCCTGCCGTAACACTCGGTCAACCATTCCTTCATTCGGCTTTCTACCATCCACGCTTTCGTGTCAACTTTCAAGACAATGTCTTTTGGGAAGTTTTCTTTTGGCATATGTAACCAGGTGAACAATACTATGACTGTTGTCGTGAATGCTGCCTCGTTTAATAAATGGACCACTGTCACTTTAAAAGGAGCGCTAACCTCGTGGGAAATCTCATGAGACTTGGACCACGAAGTGAAGTGAGACAAACGCTGAACTGTGCTTATTCAGACCTGATGTATCTGCAATCGGCATTGGTACCCGGCTGATATTAAGAGTACAATATCGTCATTTGGAAGTTTGAACGGTGTCGCACAGTGGGTCCTGTGAACAGCTGCAAAGCAGGGGAGATTAGTTTTTTCCACGTTTCAGGCACATACAACATGCCGGTAAGTGCTCACAAGCCACTACTGTTGTCTATTTTTGTCTACTTTTCTATTTGTTTGTCCTGTTTGACATATAGTCTTTTATTTCATTAATGCTGTACATGTTCTATGTTCAGTTGGGAATAAAGCATTCATAAAAAGTACTTTGTGTTCGGTCAAGTCTGTCATAGACCCAGCCACACAGCTTTCGTCTTGCAGTCCAGCTCAAAACACAGGTGAAGTGCGCCCTCTCATGGACGGTTGTTTTCACTGTCACATGATAGCATCTCACTGTTACCTTTTCTGCTTGAGCGCTCCATAGCGGCCATTGGAAAAATCTTTAAACAGACCGCATCGTTAAATAAGCCGCAGGGTTGAAAGTGTGTGACAAAAGTAGCGGCTAATACAGTGAAACTCCTCTACAACGAAAATACATGGGCGAAAATACCCCCTAGTGTGAAAAAAAAATTATGCATGAAAGCCATTCCCTCTTTTCTGCTCCCCTACAACGAAAAGTCCCCGTTACGTTATACGAAATCTTTTTCTCTGCTCTTGCCTCGCAACGAGATTCACTCCAACAAGCTTTCTGCAAGTCTAATCCAACCTCAGCATGCCACAGTGACCTCTACTGCTTCGTTCGGAAACGGCAACAGCAACCACCACACTGGTTTACACGTGCAGTAGTACTGGAAGTATTTGTTTCAGACGCAGCATGAACGTTACATTGCTAAAATGGCGACAAAACGGACCTTTGCATACCAAGGAGTTAAGAAAAGAAAAGCTTTAACGCTTGAAAACAGGATAAAGGGAATAAAAATGAAAGATGGAGGAAGCAAAATAAAAGACATTATGCAATAAATTGATGGAACTAAATGCTGATCGTAAATTTCACAATTTCTTTCCCTTTTTTTCTGTCTACGCTGGCTATATGAAGTGTCAAATAAGTATGCACAAAAAGTATGCACTATTGGAATAAAAATAGAGTATATACCTTTTTTGTGTGTGTTCGTGTTTACGTCTGAGATAAAATTTGCTACAGTGAAGTCCCCTGTTGTGAAAAATTTCTTGCTGCAAACATGATTTCATTGAAGAGGAGTTTTACTGTAGTCCAGAAATTGCGGTAGTTGTGGCCTAAAGGTTACATTCACTAATGCTTTACTGCAACTCTAGCTAGATTCCATTAACTTGGACATAACTTGCCCTTTCAACAGGACAAAGAAACCCAAAAACACATGACAGCTACTTTTGGAATGGATAAGGGAAGAGGCCAAAATTAAACTTCCAAAATCCCAACCAAAACCTTAATTGTAGACATGGTTAAATGTTGGGTCAGTGCCAGGAAACCAACCAACCTACAAAAACACGACTAATTCTGAAGAGTAGTCAAATATAAACCTGAAGCTTGTCTCAATGCATCTGACCCCCTTTACCTGAGCTAACGATGCTGAACACGTTACCACTATGGGCTGTGCTTCATGGACACAAGCTTGGCCGCCAGGCACTAAAGAGGAGCATGGTGACCAACCCCCAACTAAAGGAGAACGTCTGTGAATGTTTTTGTTCATTATGGGGGAATTTCTGAGCTGTGCTTTGTGTGGTCCATTACCTTGGACTTCTTTGCCCTTGGTGACAATGTCAAGAATGTGGACAATTTAGCGCCTAGAATTATTAGGTCACACAAACGCCACTCCACTGTTATATTGAGTGTCCAAAACATGCGGCCGCAAATCTGACGACACGACTACAAAGTCCATCATCAAGCTGCAGCCTAGGGTGTCCTGGCGTCAAGGACGCATATGGAGACCCTTATGTTTGAAAATGAGTGTTATGGACAATCCATGATGAGCACAGGAGTCCAGTAACAGGATCAGAGATGAAAGTGGACTTTCCTGGAAATTCCGGAAAAAATAAAAAATTATATATACTGTGTGTGTGTGTGTACACACACACACACACACACACCTGTCCACTATAGGTAAGATCGGGCCGCCCGAATTTCGGGTCTGGTCTAAAAATGTCAATCATTGCTTCGGGGTTCGGGTAAGGCTTCTCTCTCGCTGACTTTATTTTTTTTTTTTCCGCCGTGAATAGTTTTGGCCACGAGAGACCGTGGTTCGCAAAAAAACAGAAGCGGCGTCATCACAACACGTACTGTACTAAACTCTCGCAATGACAATTCAAAAAAACTCCTTCATATCTTTATGATCCAGCCGTTATTGTTCTTTTTGGTCTCGCTGCTTCTCTCTCTTCAAGTGCCACACTCGATTCTTAAGGACGTACTGCTGATGTGGTGAATGGCTCAATTTTCAATCCGTCAAAATGACGGACGGCCTTAAATTTTCCCCGTCCACTCTTAAAAAAAATCAATGATGGAAAATAGTCCGCTAATGTAACCTCTTTAGGAACAGAAATATAAAAGATGTAAATGTTTATCCAGTCTTGATTAACTTAGATTTCATTCGAAAAGACAGGCTTTGTTATCAGAAATCACCCCTCCTCCTCACCAATAAAATATGAAATCTCGGGTTTGCTTCGGGCTCGGGCCTGCAAATC